TAGGGAAAACCAGTTCCTCCCTACGGTGTGTTTCTCCCCATGAGTATCATTTACTACCCACATGAAACACTTCATTTCTGACACTTACGGTCAGATGTGTGGAGGCTTTTCCCCGCACCAGGTGATTCACTGACACCAGCTGGACATCCTACAAGTTAATTCAATTCTGACACTACCCAGAGATAGTGTCAGATCCCACAGGTTAAGGACTCAGTCCCACAAGACTGCCCCACCCCTGACCCCCAGATGCCAGTTGCAAGCCCTGATTGTTACCTGTGCTTCTGACCAACCGACTGTAGATCAGAGGTTCTAATGACCTCTCCTTAGGTCTGATTAATTTGCTAGAGCAGCTCACAGAACTCAGGGAAACAATTACTTACATTTACCAGTTTATTAGAGGATATGATAAAAGATACAGATGAACAGCCAGATGAAGAGTGAGGTTTGGGAGAGTCCTGAGTGTAGGAGCTTCTGTCCCCGTGGAGTTGAGGGTGTCATCCTCCCAGTGTGATTGTGTTCACTAACCTGGAAGCTCTCCAAACCCGATACTTTGGGGATTTTGTGGAGGCTTCCTCATGTAGAGACGGTCAGTTGATAACTCCATGTCCAAGCCCTCTCTCCTCTCTGGAGGACGGGGGAGGGGTTTGAAAGCGCTAGGCTTCTAATTGCGACTTGGTCTTTCTGGTGACCAGCTCACCCAGGTGCCTCCTCAGACTCACCTCCTTAGAACAAGCGGTTCTCCTATTGCTCCTGTCACTTAGGAACGTGTAAGGGCTTTAGGAGCTCTGTGCCAGGAACCAGGGGCAGGGACTAATGCCTGTATTTCTTATTCACAATAGTGGTTGCGTGAATTTTTTTTTTTTTTTGCGGTACGCGGGCCTCTCACTGTTGTGGCCTCTCTCGTTGTGGAACACAGGCTCCGGACACGCAGGCTCGGTGGCCATGGCTCCCGGGCCCAGCCGCTCCGCGGCATGTGGGATCTTCCCGGACCGGGGCACGACCCCGCGTCCCCTGCATCGGCAGGCGGACTCTCAACCACTGTGCCACCAGGGAAGCCCGCGTGAATTTTTTTCAACGTGTTATAATCCACAAAAGTTGCTCAAATTATCTCAAATTTAGCCAGTGGGAGACCTTTCAAGATGGTTCCAGAGATGCAGTGAATGTAATGGATATAAATTTAGCTGAAAAGTTGGGGGCGCTGTGGCCAGTGTAGCATGTCAGTTTCCCAAGACTCTGGGATTTTCTTTTAAGGCCTCAAGTTCTCCATTTTGAAATGGTGATGGTGATGTTAATACTTCTGATGAAGGCACTCTGTCAAACACTTGGTGTGCATTTTCTCATTTAATTCAAGCAACTGTTATTATCCCCATTATATAGATGAGCCCAGGGGGGATTAAGGGAGACCAGGGAGGTCCAAGGTCACAGAGTGACTAAATGAGGGAGCCAGAGTTTTAAACCCAAAGCCTATTGTTTTCACTGCTGTGCTAATAATGTAGTGTAAGTGTAGATGCATTCAACTCATGTAGGACAGACTTGCAGGGGGAAACATCAGCTTGGAAAAGAGGTAAAGAGGATTTACCTCTTCATCTTTCTTCTCCAAATTACTTTCAGAAACTGCTCTTGGTGGGCCAGTCAGACCCCAATTGCTTAGATAAAAATAGACCAGGAGTTCTTTAGTATATTTAAGGAAGTTAAGGAAAATTAAGTATTATTTCAAAATTATATCTCTTTATTTAAAAAGTAATATAACCACATTCAGAAAAATTGAAATTCATGGAAAAAGATCACCTGGCTCTCACACATAGTTTTGACAATTACTTTGGACATTTTTATGTTTCTTTTTAAAAATATTTTTTGAATTCATCTAATTTTTAGATATACTCATAGTATCTCTAAAATGTTGTCTCCTGCTTTTTTTATCCACTAAGCAAAAAAAAAAATTTTGATGATGAAAACCTACTAGAGCTTTCATTCCCATAAGAGTTCATCACTGATTTTTATTACCCCAATTAAAAAAAATGGTCTAGATAAAAATGTACCAAGTCCTCAGGGAAGGAATGGACTAGAGGGAAGGGCAGATGTATAAACAGCAATTCTGAAAGGGGAGGGGAATATACACTGCACAGTGGAAGCATGGAGGAAAGGCAGATAATGGTTGTGCCTTGAGGAAATGGTTCACCAACAAGGTGAAATTTGAACTGAATTTTTTAGGATGGATAGGACTTGCAGAGGATGGGCAAAGGGATTCCTGTACAAGGTACAGGAGTGTACAAAGTCAGAGAGATGGCAGGACTTTGACTTGGTTAGGGGTGGGCAGTTGGAATTCAGGAAATCAGAGGCACTGGCAGCAGGGAGGCTGGGCAGGTGGGTGGCGATTAGATGGTATGGGCCTAGACCGCTTTGTGAAGGGGGTTAGACTAGACCCATTAAAGCCGTTGGGTAATTTTGAGCAGCAGAGGTCCTGCACCTCATTTGCACTACAGACAGTTCCCTCTGATGTCGGTGTTCAGGATAGAATCCATCTGTGAATGGCAAGAGTCTAGAAGGGGATGTGGAAGGAGGATATGGGTGGTATCAAGAGCAGTCTGAAGCAGATACTATGTTATATGGTAAATTCACATCTTTAGTGTACAAATTATAAAAATGTCAGATGTACTAGCAACTTTTAAAACTTGACATTTCTCAACATCAGGAGTAATGTCTAGGGCTGCCATGTATAGTTGTGCAGGTTGTTCACTGCACAACAGTGCCTGGCCAAGGAGTGGGGGGCAAAATCTGGACCCACCTCTTGCCAAGCTGTGAATCCTGGCATGAACTGTATCCACCCAGAGGAGGCTCCATTTTCCAAATTGCATATGGCTAGCAGCAGCCCCAATAACTCCTTTTTCCAGGCTTAGGCCTAGAATGAATTACTTTAGAATAATCAATGAGATAAGAAATCAAGACACTAAGAGTCAGAGAACAGTTGAAGTCCCCATTGTTCTCTACCAAATTCATTGTGTGTGTATCAATAGTTCATTCCTTTTTATTGCTGAGTAGTATTCCTTGGTAAGGTTATACCAGAATCTGTTTATTCATTTACCTCTTGATGAGCATTTGATTTTTTTTCCTGTTTTTCACAATTGCAAATAAAGCTTCTATGAACATTTGTGTACAAGTCTTTGCATGGACATATGCTTTCTTTTCTCTTGGGTAAATACCTAGGAGTGAAATGGCTGGATTGAGTGGCAGGTGTGTACTTCACTTTTTAAGAAACTGTCACATGGTTTCAAAGTGATTGTGCCGTTTTACTTTCCCACCAGCAATATTTGAGGGTTCAGTTTCCTCCACAGGAACCAACACTTGCTATTAGCCCACAGTATCTGAACTGTCGACTTGTACGAAGTATGAGGAAGAGTTTGTAATAATCGGATTTAGTCTGTGTAGACCACCCAAAAATGGATTCAGATTTAAAAATCAACTTTGGATTCTACACAATCCAGATTTACTGAGAAAAGGGATTGAGTAAATGCAATCATTACCACAGAATCCCCTCCATCAGTGTGGTTAAGATCTTTTAATATAGTGAGAAGATGTTACTCTGTCGTTCTCAGTGTCTATGAAGTGTGTGACTCCACCTCCACCTCGCCACCCAACCCCATTCTGGGATCAGAATCCCCTCTGAGACACCGTAAGCTTCTAGTGTGGGTGTGAATCAAAGGCAGCTTGTCAAAACCACAGATTTCTGGGCACTTTTCCCTGGATTCTGACCCAGTGATCTGGGCGGGGGCCCAGGAATCTGCATTTTCACAGATACTGGAGTTAAGTCTTTTGGACACACTTTGGTACACCTAACTTATAATTTCTGGAACCACTTGTTTGCAGTGTAGTGGTATTAAGCATTTTCAAGTGTAAGCTGCTGGGTTTCAAGTGAGGTTTTTGATCAGTAGCCTGGTCAGTACAAGCCTCCTCATGGTTTATGTTTACTTTTTGCATTTTTGGGTTGTTCATATATTATAACTAGACTGACTCTTACCAGGATCGGGACCATTTCAACACTTCCCTTCCTTCCTGATCTTTTTTTTTTTTTTTAAACAGTAAGCCAGAACCCATGATAAAATCTATGGGAGTAAAGTAATATTTTCATGTGAGACAAATCCTTTTTTTTAAGAGTAACTACTTATTCCCTTAAGAGTTTATATGCTGAGTTCATTCACTTGAATAGTGCAGTCACCATCAAATATGCCGTTGGAATATTTGTTTCTGTTAATCATACAGTGAAGTTTAAATAAAACATTGCTTTTCTCTTTTTAAAATTTACTTTGCTCAGAACTATTTTGGTGGAAAGCTCTCTGCTCAAGGGAAAATGCCTTGGATTGAATATAATCATGAAAAAGTTTCTGGGACAGAATTCATAATTGACTTTCTGGAAGAGAAACTTGGAGTGAATTTAAACAAAAACCTTGGTCCTCATGAAAGAGCCATCTCCAGGGCAGTGACTAAGATGGTGGAGGAGCATTTCTATTGGTGAGTCCCCGTGGGCGCCTGGGTGGGTGTCCAGGGCCTGTCCCTATCGTTTGGAGTAAGCTAAGTTGTTTAACTTTTCAGACACTCCCCCCACACCCCGCCTTTTCCAAAGTGTTCTACATTCTGACTGACTTAGGGGTCAAAGTTACGACTGTTAAGTTCCTAGGTATCTAGAGCAGGGTTGACATTTTCTGTGGAGGCCCAGCTAGTGCATATTTTAGGCTTTTCGAGCCATATGTGTCTGTGGCAACTACTTAACTCTGCAGTTTTAGTGCAAAAGCAGCCGCAGATTGTACACACATGAATAAGTGTGACTGTGTTTCAATAAAACAACAAAAGCACTGAAATTTGAATTTCGTTTAATACGAAATACTATTCTTTTGATTATTTTTTCCTCAACCATTTACAAATATGAAAACCTCTTAGCCCATGGGCTATATAGTTGGCTGACCCCTGATCTAAGTCACTGAAGTGAGGGAGATATTTCAGTAGACTGGGCTTTTTACCATTACAAACTGCTGAATTAAAGTGATAGTACATCAGATACCCAGAAGAGGGAACAGAAGACTAAGGCAGGACAGATGTCTCAGGTGACATAAATTAAGCAAGCTTTGGCAGAGGATTGTCAGTTTTCCTTGGATGACAAGAGCTTCTCTATGATTCAGAAGTAAAGCATACTACTATTTTCTGAGCAACTTTGCCCTGATTGGCTGACTCCTATCCTGTACCTTGCCTTGATTGGCTGACTCCTAGCCCGTATTCCCTGAGTACGAAGCATAACACACACTGTGTGGATGAGGTAGGTACCCCTGGGCTGCACCTGGCGTGCTGGCTGTGACATCGCCTGAGTTAAGCAGACTTGGTTCTTTTTGCTTTACAAGCTCATTGATATGTGGGTTTCTTCTTTTTCTTTCATCCGTCTTCTGGAGTTTTAGCATCTTTCTGTACACTCCAATAGATAAGAGATGTTTTCTCCCTGATTTCTGTACTTTATCTTGTTCCAAAGATTTAATAAAGAATTGCTGAGCCCACTTTTTTGGGCATTAATTGTTGCTCCTGGGTTATTGCTCACCGAGTAGCTTTTACCTCTTCCACCAAGGGATTCACTCATTGTGGGGTTGATTGTAGAAGGTTTTTTTGCCATCACATTCCTATTTCATCCATTCAGCTCTCTTTCTAAATGGAAAACTTGTCTCTTGGATTCTGTGACCGTCTGTTTTTCGTTTTCTTTTTCCACTTTCAGTTCTTGCTCACTTTATTCCAGGGCTGACCTGAAGCACCACTTTCTTCCCCTTTTCACTGCAGAGGGTGGGAGGAAGGAGGGAACCAGACCGAGAGTGGAGTCAGGGGTGCAGATCAGCCTGGGAGTGATCACAGACTCCGTGTGCCCAGAATGAACTCGGGTCTGTTCCTTATAGTACCTGTGGAGAGCTGCTGGCCCTCCCCTCTCAAAGAGTGCAGGGGTTGCAGTGTGGACCAAAATGCATGAGTGCAGGTGACATGCTTAGTCTCAGGGAAAAACCTTTGAGGGACAGAGTCGTCTCACCTGCTTGCCAGGTTCCAGTCCCCGCTTTGCAGCGATCAGGGAAATGAAGAACCAGCACAGGCACCCAAACCCTCGGTGTCTTCCCTTGCTGAGGCCCCTGTCAAAGTGCTATATCGTTTAATGGATGGGCCCGTTAATGTGGAGAGCTAGCACTTTGTCAGCTGCCTGAAAAGCCGAAAACCTTACATTTAAGTTGGTATTTTTCTACACTCTTTGTTTTCTGTAGTGGTTCATAAATTTATATTCAAGTTAGAAAGACTTTGATCCAGCTAGATTCCCAAGTACCACCCATCACTGCTTCTTGCTCTGGGTATTAGTGACATTTTATATATGTTTACTCTCTGGTAGAAGTTCATCTCCTGCTCTTCCCTTCCGTTCTCTTCCTAATGAGAGGGTCCCTGCTAACGAGATGGGGTGTGGTGGGGAGGGGTGGGAGGGAGAGTTGGGAGGTGGTACCCTGGTGGGGAAGAATCTTAATTTTACAGACTACAAACCCCCAAGTGCTTGGGAAGTTGCTTAGGTCATTTGTAGATTCTTCTCTTTTTTTAATTAAAAAAATACTTTTTTGGGGTTAGCTACTATTTCTCATTTGTGTCTCAAGGGTTAATTTGAGGAACAGATAGTGAAGGTGGGAGGTCAGGTCTTGACTGAGATATAAATATCCAGTGAACTTTCAAAAAAAAAAAATCCAAATTCCTCCAATTTCTTTTAGTCTCTAGTAGTGGAAGGAAAAACAAACTTTCTCTGTTTCATAAACTTTCCAAACCTTTAGCCAACTTCTTGCTTTGAGGGGATCCCGAACGGGCTTTCCTGAGAGCTCTAAATCCCAGGGGAGAAAAGGCACCCACCCCCCCCCTCTCAGCCCCACACTGCCCGTGCAACCCATGGTAAGAAAATGTGTACCTGTGGAAACTGGGGGCCAGCATAGGGAACTGACCACATTATGTAAGAAAATATTGCAAGTATGAGCTTTCCATGAGAGCTTGTTAAATTCTGACCATCAGCGTGCTCTAAGGTTGTGTTTGTACTTACAGAAGTGGAAGAGGTGGAATCAATTGTTTGACTCAGTTGATTCAATTATCTGGAGTTTTCAGATATGTTTATTTTGGTCTGAAACTTTAAAAATACTCCACTTCACATATGATTTTCTGAAAAGCAAAGACATTGGAAGGCTGTCATTATATAACATCACATAATTCTGAAGCTCTGAGTTAGGTCTGTTCAAATAAGCACACTCAGCTATAAAGTGGTTTTTCCTGAACTTGAAATCCGTACACTTGCATTATACAGCTATTATTGAAGATGAGGGAGATGGGTTTTCATTCCCTTTGTTCCACTGGATGCTCAAGTTAGATCTAATGCAGGGAAGCCGGTGTAAAGCGAAGTCTGATTACTGGAATGAAATTTGAGTTTTGGTAACAGAAGCTATAGCTGCTTCTGTGTGACATACTGCCCCCTTGTGGACACTGCTGAGTGTCTTGAGCGACTTCCAACCCCATAGGGACGTGTGCAGGGCACTGTTGTCAAACTATCTATAGCCATAACAGTTTTACCCATAAAAATATAAGGGTTAGAACAGAGGATTCAAATTCATTTTTAGGTTGGCCATAATCTTTAAATTTTGATTTTGGCTTTTGGTGAATGGGAGAGTTGGATGCTTTAATAAAATGACTTACCCAAGATCTCCTCTAAAAGCCAGGAGACACTCTCTCCCTGATTACAGCTCAATTGATGTGGTCCCTTCTCCTTTCTTTTTTTGTCCCCCTCCACCCTTACTTTTAGATGTAGTGAGGACCCCTGTTTGGAGAGGCTAATCTAATGCCTGTGAAATGCGGTGAAATTACAGAAGCATATCATATGCTCTCGCACCCTTGAGCATTTAGAGTACAAGTGAAAGATGGCAAGGATGTAGCATGACCCAGAAAAAGGCGTTCTCATGGTTGGGAAGGCCATATGCTAAGACTCATTTGTCAAACAGTAGTTTGCCATGGTTTGCAGTTTCTCACATGTGTACTAATAGTCATTTCTGCTATGGGCCAGGCCTCATGTTAGGTTATAATGAGGGATATTGTCATTAAAACGTCAGAGGTCTGCTTTTCTTTCCTGCCTTCCTAATCTGCTTTAAAAAGGTTTGAGCAGGGTTTACTCTTCTGTTCTAAGATAATCAATATTGAAAAAAGAAAAAACCTCTCTGACCTCATTTTGTAGGAGAGACCAGATACAGCAGTTGTGATAACGAAAATGAGTATCAACTTCCTGAGAGAGGCTCTTAGAATGAGAAATTATTTTAATTGCTCCGCCTGGTCTAGTTTCCAAATTGGCCTTCCCCGTCCTCTCCAGATAATAATTCATGATTCCTTGTGCAGTGGGCCTCTTCCCAGTGGAGAGTGAAGAGGCAGATCCCAGAAGAGAATGGTGGCAGCCCCTTCTTTGTTCTCCATAGGCATCTCTCTTTCCATTTCTCTGTGTAAATATTGTCAGCCCTTAGAAGCACTACTTAGCAGAGGCTGGCTCAGAAGTGAAGGCTTTTCATTCAATCGATAATTCATTCTTTCAGCAAACTTAGTGAATGGATGACTACCAGTAGCTGGCACTGTGCTGGATGGGGGCGGGGAAGCAAGGTGACGAGTTGCCGTCCCTGTCCTCAGATGGCTCACAGGGGACGGAGGCACCCAGCTTGCATAGTGGCCAGCGCCGGGGGAGTGTTTGAAGAACCGAGGCCAGGCAACCAGCACCTGCCGGAGCAATGAGGGGAAAGCTTCCTGAGGAGATGGTGCCACTGTAGAATCTAGGGCCAATCAGGGTGGCAGGTGAAGGGGCCAGGTGAGAGGGGAAGATGAGACACCCCAAGAAAGGGGTGTCTGGGGTGGCATGTGTAATTCTGTGTGGTGGGTGCACGGGAGGTGATGCAAGTGTCGGGGTCTGGCTGTGGGAGGGATGGGAGGCTGGCGTGCCAAGCTAAGCAGCTATGGGGAGTTAATGGATGACTCTGAGAGGCAACGAGGTGCCATTCGATTTGTGTTTTAGGAGGCTTTTTGTGGCTGCCTCGGGGGAAATGGATTTCTGGAGGGCCTTGAGGTGCTGTCAGGAGACCTGCAAGGAGGCCACTGCCCTCAGGGTTGAGCAGTGGTGCAGCCTGCACTGCAGTGTTAACTGAGTTGGAGAAAAGGGCAAAGCCACAGGGTGACTGGCTCTCAGGAGTGAGGCGTGGGGAGCGGTGAGCAGGAACTCCTGGGGTTCCTTCTGGTTTGGGTGAAGAGTAGCAGAATTGGAGGAAAGGAAGAGGGTGAATCCAACTTTGGAAATGTTGGTTTGAGCTCCCGAGGCTCCTTCACATGGATCCGTGGACCTCAGGGCAGAGGTCTCATGGGCAGTCCTCACTTTGAAATCATGAGTGTGAAAATTAGATCACCCTATGAGTGACGTGTAAGAAGGTGGAAGGAATAAAGAGAAAAATCTTGGCAACATGGAAGAGGTGAGAGGAAAAGCAGTAGAGACGTAAGCTAAGGGAGAATTCTAAGAGGATGATAGTGTTGGCTGCTGCAGAGAGTTCAAGAAAGATAAAGATGGAAAGAAAATGTACGTGAATTTTGCAATAAGAAGGGATTGTTGACTTGGACGAGAGTGGTTTCGGTGGAGTGGTGGGGATGGAAGACCCACCACGTGGAGAGTTTCCAGGAAGCTTGGGTGTGGGAGGACATGGATTAGTGGTTGTTATGATATGGAAGCATGCATGAGTGATGTCTTTGACCTGTAGAAATTGACCTGACATTGTCGCTTATACACACTATATGGGGCTTGACCCTGGAAGAGCCTGCCTGGCCCTCATTTGCTTCTCTTCCCTGATACCGGTCTGTAATTTGGGGCACAGGGAATGAAAGAGAGGAAAGAAATAGAGAGCAGGGTGGGAAAGAGAAGGGAAGAAGCCCAGACAGTTTCTGAGGTTACTTTTAGCTGCAAAATTCTGAATCAACCCAGTGTTTCTTCTCCGCCCTGCATCCGACCTGCTAACGCAGGTGGAGAGCCTTATGCCATTGCATCAGGGCCGGGAGACGTTTCTCTTCCCTGCTCAGCTGTGTGGCCCAGATAGCAGCTGCCTCTTCCGTCCCCGCCTGCTCCTCTAACCCGTTGGTCTTCTCAGACTCTCTTCCCAGTGCTCCGTCCTCGTCTTCTGCCTGCGCTCTCATTTCCTGCTCTCAGAGGAGACCAAGTTCATCAGGCGGGAACCTGGAACCTCTCTGCAGCCCCTCACATCTCCATCTCACAGAGAGCGGTGCCCCTACTTCTCTCCAAGTTGGCCCTTCCAGCCTGGCCTTCTAGTCTTCTCACTTACCCTTGAACTAGGTTTCTCCCAAACCACTCCTTACCCTAGAAACTTTCTTAGGCGACCTCAGCTCCTCTCACAGCCTTGAAACTGCCACCGCCATGCCCCTGCCCATCAATTCTTTCTCTTGAGTCTAAACCTATCTTGTGAATTCGCAACCTTCGGGACATCCTCCCTTGGAGGTTCCATGGAACCTTCAAATGCAACAGGTTAATTCATCTTTGGTCACCTAAATCTGTCCCACCTCGTGTATGCTGGTACTGGTTACCATCCACTCCAACCATCAGCCTGGGAGATGACTTCCTCTGTGGTTTCTCCACTTCCGGTCCTTTCCTCACCTTGCCACACATCTGATTATGTTTCTCGTCTGCTTAAAACCTTTTGGTGGTTAAACTTTGCTTTCTGAATAAATCTTAGCACCCTTTGCATCAGACCCCTCCTGACCCAATCCTTGCCCACCCTTCTAGCTTCAACTCTTACAGGCTCCCTCAGGCATCCCGGACCGCACCCGCCCGTCCTGAAGTTCTTGCAGTTCATAGAGCAGCCAGGGCTCTTCGTGCGCATGCCTCTGCCTCTGCTTCATGCTGGTGAACTTCTGCTCATTCTTCAAGACCAGTTGTGCTTGTGATAAAGCCCGTGCAGTTTGTCTACAAAGAATGTATTCTTTTTCACATCAACCTGTCCGTTTAGAGCCACCATAGTCCTCATTTTTATGCTTTAGATGCTTCCTGGATGCTATCATTACTTGGTCATACTTAACTTAGGATAATTTAGTTTTATTCTCAGGTCACTGACTTCCAAAATAATCAAGGATGGTATAGGCCTTTTATTGTGAATTTAGATCTAGTACAGTTAGAATCAAAGTGCTGATTATACTGAAGAAATTTGAAAATTGACACTCTCATGACTGCAGGTATAAAAAGCAGAGGAAATAGAAAAGTGTTTTGTTTGCATGTTTATAAAGAATCTATTAGAATAAATGAAATCTTTTATATATTAATTAATATATAAAATATACATATTAATATTAATATCAATATATAAAATATACATATTAATATATATAAAATATACATATTAATATTAATTAACACCAACATATAAAATATACATATTAGTATTAATTAATATTAATATATAATATACACATTAATATTAATTAACATTAAAATATAAGATATATTAATATTAATTAATATTAATTAATACATATTAATTAATCACCATTGCAATGTACGTTTTCTACATATTAATTAATCACCATTGCAATGTACTTTTTCCTCTTTTCAGTCAAAATTTCTTTCCTCCTCAATACTTTATTTTGAGATCCTTACAGAAAGAGGTACACAAACATTTCTAACAAGATTTGTAAGCATCTTTTAAAAAGCTAATAAAGAAGAGTTGTGGTTGTAGTACAGAGTATGTTGAAATTGGTTGTGAGACTTTTCAGTAAAAATTAGGAAGGCTTAAAAAAATGAGAGAAATCTTTTTTTTTTTCTTCTTATTTTCATACTCAGGAAAGAGCACTGAAAAGAATAGAACTATATAAAATGATCAAAATTTCAGGGCCTTATTTTCCGCTTTTGTTTCTTTTTCTTGAGGTGGAAAGTAGCTACAGTTGGCTATCAACCCTTGCGTTCTCTCTGTAAAAAATATTTTCATTCCTCTGATGTTTTCCAAGTGACCATTACTGCTGTATCAACCAACAGTGGGAGTAGGAATGACTCCAGTACAGCTTTTATTGCTCACTGTGAGGAAAAGCTAAAACATCTTCTGCCTGTACGCCTACAGCTATGTTTTTCTTAGCCTTCAGTAGGAAGACCTTTTAATTTCTATCTACCAACACTATGAACCATAAAAACATTCCTACGATTGCCCAGGTTCAGAGAACAAACTCAGCAAAGGCCTGGCTATTGCAACCAGCATAGCACATGAGCAGTGAATAGCTGCTTAGCTGTCCACACATACTACGCAGGAGCCCCTGGACGGGTGGGTGTTTGCCATGAGCACCACCCAGATGGGAAGACTGATCCAACCAAGTTCCTCTGGTGTTCATGCGCACTCTAGGGTCCTGGAGAGCAAACCGAAGCAGAGAGCTGCCTTTCTGGAGAATGAGTCATTTATGTACTATTTATAATTTATATGGTTTATAGTAAACATAGACAGCTATACCTATTCCCTGATCCTGTCAAAAAGGCAAAAAGATTTCTCTTTAAAAAATCCTTTCATATCAGGAAATATAAAATGCATATACAAACTGTACAAGACAAAAATGTGCAGCTTAATTAACTAACACAGAGCATAAAAGAGAATAATGCCATTTGCAGTAACCTGGATGGACCTAGAGATTATCACACCAAGTGAACTAAACCAGACAGAGAAAGACAAGTATCATGTGATATCGCTTATATGTGAAATCTAAAAAAAATGATACAAATGAACTTATTTACAAAACAGAAATAGACTCACAGACATAGAAAACAAATTTATGATTATCAAAGGGGAGGAGGGATAAATTAGGAGTTTGGGATTAAAATACACACACTACTATATATAAAATAGATAACCAACAAGGACCCACTGTATAGCACAGGGAACTAAATTCAGTATCTTGTAATAATATAATGGAAGAGGATGTAAAAAAAGAATACATGTGTATAAGCATATATATATATTTATAAAACTGAATCACTTTGCTGTACACCTGAAACTAACACATTGTAAATCAACTATATTTCAATAAAAATTAAAAAAAAAAAACCCCACAGAGCACAGACCTTTGTAACCATTACTTTGATCAAGAAAGAATGAAACCAGCACCCCAGTCCTTGCTGCCTCCTTCCCGATGCCCCCCACCCCACCACGTAGGTACTCACTGTCTTGTCTAAAAGCCTTTTAAAGTGGGTGTCTACTTGTTTTCTGTGGGGCTGGCTGAGAGAAAGCAGAAGCATGGCCTTGGGGGCTGGGGGATCTGTGGGCAGCTGCAGTTTGGTGGGATGGTAGCATGGCAAGCTCTCTGCGTTTGTCACTGTTTCTCCCTCAGGCCCTAAGTCCAGGCATGGACTAGAGTCTGTTGTAATATCTGCCGTGCAGACTGCCCTTGGGAAAAGCTACAATGATTCAGCCCTCCAGAGTGTGCTAAATTCCCGACCCCTCACTGGAAATTGACTCTGTGGACCTGCTATGTATCTAACGCACAGTAGTAACTTGTTTCCACGCAATTGCAGGACCTTAGCTTATTGCCAGTGGGTGGACAATCTCAATGAGACCCGGAAGATGCTGTCTCTTAGTGGTGGCGGTCCCTTCAGTAACCTGCTCGGGTGGGTCGTGTGCCACATAACGAAAGGAATCGTGAGACGCGAGATGCATGGCCACGGCATTGGCCGCTTCTCAGAGGAAGAGATTTACATGCTGATGGAGAAGGACATGCGGTCCTTAGCAGGGCTTCTGGGTAACGTACCACGTCTTCTATTCTATATGTTCTATCCTTACTTTTTGCATGATTAGTAAAGCACTGTTTACTGACTTAAAGTTTTATTTTTGTTCGTTTCTTTGCTTCCACATGTAGGTTGCAGTCGCACCATTTAACTAAGTCCCCTAATTTTCAGGAGCACAGGTTTCTCTTTTTAATCACTAGAGCGTGACTGTTTCTGGTGCGGCGTGGCCTCGTGTAAAGAGAACGTGGAACGTGGTGTAGCATTACTAACTGGCTGTAAGTGATGCTGGCGTTTCTGAATGTGTTGTGAGCAAGGGGGATTTTGAGCAAGGAAGCTCTTCTATTTATAAGCAGGTCAGGGTAAAAGGCTGTTTATAAACACGTCTGCTCAGAAGATGCGACTGGGTACTGTCAACATCAAGCTAAGAGAGATGCTGACCCAGCCCGGGTACACGTGCAACATTTGACATTTCCTCACCTCTTTCATTTCCCCTTGTAATCCGAGTCCTCCTCTTATTAGCATGTATTTAACTCTTCTGATTTTGTATTTACTGCACCCAGTGGGTTTAGCTGTGTTGGGAAGCCTCTCAGAGAGAAGCACAGAGCGGCATCTCTTCGTGGGTGGGTGAGGATGCTTAGCCGAGTGACGCTCCCTTGCTCACCTGGTCGGCTGGAGGTGGCTGGGCTGATGTGACTTTGTACTGGACAGAGTTTGCGTCTAAGCTCTGACAGATCACAAGCAGATCATTCGAATTCAGGAGCTTCAGTGTGTGGAATGACGGCCTGTCCTGGGAACGACGAACGTATATATGCGGAGCCAAGGTCATAGGACCTAGTCCTTAGGGGCTGCTGATTTTGTCTGGGGACAGTGGGTTTTCACTGACCCTCTCTCAGTACCCTCGTTATCCATTCTGGAGCACACTAGGTACCTCTCCTCCTCCAGGAAGCGGGGTTTGGGATTTGTTTCGTTGAAACCTACCTGGTGCCGAGGAGCGGGGGGCTGTGCTGGGTGTAACCACCCCTGTGCAGGGTGGCCCACTCTCATGGGCTTCTTCATGCTCTGCGCTCCACTTACTGGACCTGGAGTCCTCCCCTGAACCTGGCCTGCAGGGGGAGAGCCCAACGGGGCATCCAGCTCTTGGCCAGCGTTGTCATGTGGGGGGTTTGACGCCGCTGGGCTCCTGCTCTAAATAGACACTCAGGAGCCCTGCCTGGCTTGGAGGTTGACGCTGTCTGGACCTCCTGGTGCTTTGCCTCCCTGGGCCTAAGTGGGCCTGCCTGATGTAGGTATGAATGGAATTTGCTTCGAGTTTGCCTCGTTCCTTTGGAAACTTAGTATCGGACTCTCGGCCTCACACAGAGCAGGTGCACAGAGGGCCGTTTCCTCCTAGCAGCGGCTCTATCTGCTCCTGGCTTCCTTCCCAGCTCACGCTGTTGGGAGCCCCAGAAAGCCAGGAGTGGAGACCCTGAAGTGATGACAGCTCATCTCTAACAACAGTGTTCGTTCCTTAACTAGAGTGGGGTGATCATCTCCTTTCTATAGAGCGTTTTTGGTTGGGAGAACCTGGGGCAGGGTGACAGCAATAATAACCATAACGCCAGTGTCCCTCTGGTATTTAATGACTCAGAAGAATGCTTCCACCCCAGTGATGGTGAGATGGGAGACAAATGAATCACTGATAGCTAGGCTGTCAGTGGCAAGTATTCACAACAGCATCCCAAGTCCAGGTGATTTTCTAGGATGAGAAACTGAGTGGGTTACTTGCATAGCTGGATTTTACTAGAGTTATATTCTGTACGAGGGCCCAGGGAGCAGTCTAGCTTTGAACTCTATCACAGGAGAAGCACTTTTTCTGCATTTGGGGAGGGAGAGGCTCTGGGGCTGAACATCATAGTTTTTCTTACTAAATGAGGCAGAAAGCAGCTATTTCTCCCTTCACCCAGGGTTATAGCTTACTTTTTTTTTTTTTGCGGTACGCGGGCCTCTCACTGTTGCGGCCTCTCCCGTTGCGGAGCACAGGCTCCGGACGCGCAGGCTCAGCGGCCATGGCTCACGGGCCCAGCCGCTCCGCGGCATGTGGGATCTTCCCGGACCGGGGCACGAACCCGTGTCC